CGCTTCCCCATGGCGCTCTCCTGACTCAGCTAGGTCAATATTGACCATAGGCCCCTCCCCTGCCTCTGACTCCCGAGCCACCCCAAAGCCCCATAGCTGAGACCCTGACCTCGGGTCAGCAGAGTCAAGGTCAAAGTGATGCTTGGGGCCCAGAGGGTTTTATTGCTGTCCCACTCCCATATCCTCCTGGTTTGGCAGGGTTTCCAGGCTCCCCAGAGAAACCACAGGGCCCCTAACCATTAACTCCACCTGGCAAGAGGAGCCAACCCCCGAGTCCAGCTTCAGAGTAGGGGCTCTGCTCCCCCTGCAGCCCTCCATGATGGGCTCTAGCAGAAGGCTGAATTGGGCAGGTGGCTCCCTTCTGTCCACGGCTCTTCCCCCAGGCACCTCTATGGGGCACACTGTTTCTGTCCATTCATTACAGATGGACACACTGAGGCCCTGCTTCCAAGGCACCTTGTCATGGAACCGAAAGGTGCCGGCAAGCCCTGGGCCTCTATCTTGGCTGTTTCTGGCTCAAAGCAACACCACTCCTGCCCTCCTTCTGCTGGGTTGGCTGGAGGCAGGAGATGGGTCTCAGTTTCTTTCTTTTTCTTTTTTGTTGTTGTTAATCCTCACTCTAAGATATATATTTTTTTCCCCATTGATTTTTAGAGAAAGTAGAAGGGAGGGGAAGAGACAGAGAGAGAGAAACATTGATGTGAGAGAGACACATCGACAGGCTGCCTCCCACACGCACCCCGAGAGGAGCCGGGGATCGAGCCTGCATCAGAGGTATGTACCCTCAGCCAGAACGGAACCCTCAACCCTTCAGTCTGAGAGTTGCCACTCTAACCACTGAGCAAAATGGACTAGGACAGTTTCTTTATCTAAACAAGGGCCAGCAGGCTCATGAGAAACCCACCCGGAGGGTTTCTATATGGCGTGTTTCTCTCTAAGCACTCTGATCAGTTTTTGAGCAGAGGATCCCAGACAGGTGATGTCCAAGTTGGCCTCGGCACCTACCTGCTACAACTCTCGAAGAGATGCAGCTCAGAGATGCTGTGGACTTCACGGGAAAAGGCATCCTTTCCCCCAAATAAAAGTAATCTTGGAGGGAGTGTAGGGAGGAGGCCTTTGAGTGGCCAGTGGGGCAGGCTGCTGCTCTGTCCTGGGGGAGAAGGTCAGGCGGAGATGAGCAAGGGGGTGCTGGAGGGAGGGAGGGCAGCCATGGACGCCCTCCCAGGGCAGGGCCAGCGTCAGCGAGGCCTCAGCCCCAGAGGGAGTGGCCTGAAGCTCAAGGAGCCAAACTTTCCATGAGCCACCAGCAAAAAATGAGTCTGGAGAAGAGCGTCCACCGCAGACCTGAAGGCTCAGCAACCCAGGGTCACGTGGAATTCAGAGGGACTGGGAACATCTTAACTCTTTGCTGGCGGTCTCTAGAGCCACCAGCAAGCTGCTTTCAGCGTGATGGGGCTGTGTGCAAAGCTGTGAACTGGCATTGTGGGTCCCCAAGGACACACAGGCAGGGAGGGGCAGAGCCAGGAATGAGCCGGGGCCTGTGTGGCTGAGCAGCCTGCGCTCCCTGCCCCCAAGCCCTGTGGGGTCCAAGGAGCATGATAAGAGCCTTAACTGCCTGGAAATAAAATGGGTCGTCTCAGAAGGTGGTGAGTTCCAGCGCCCTGTGCAGGCGGGCTGGGCTGTCAGGACTCACCAGAGGGAGGACTGAGCCAGCCCGCTCCCCCTGCCCCCAGCCCAAGACTCTAGGAGTCCATGTTCACACCTAGTGGGAATGGAGGGTATATGGACTCAAGACCTACAAGAATGGCAGGATTCCCATGGGTGGATGGGGAAGACCCTGGGTCAGGAGCCTAGGCCTGCTCAGGATACCATGCAGATGAACTTGGCCGGGCCGTGGAGAGGAACACCTGAGGCAGAGCCTACTGAGGATCAAACACTAACCCTTGTGTCCCCTGGTTTTGTCTGTTGACCCTCACTTGACCTTGGGAATGTGGCTGGCCCTAATGATAAGGTGCTCCTCCCCTCTCTCCCCTCCCCCCACGTTTGCTCTCAGATCGTGGGTTGGAAGTGATTACGGATCTCAGCGCTTTCCAGCACCGCCCAAGAGACCACCTTCTCTGACGAGCCCCAGAACAGGAATGAAGGGCCCAGGGCACCCCCCACCACACCCAGCAGGCCCAGAGCTGCCTCCTCTCAAGGTCAAGGGACTATGATTGCAGAGATTAGCCGAGGAGACCAGAGCACTGAATTGGGTGGGGAGCCCTGGGACAAGCCCTGCCCCTCTGGCTGCTGATCCCCTAAGACTGCAGAGTGGCCGACAGGAGGCCCTAACTGAGCCATGCCGCTGTACATCTTGATATCTTACAACCTGGGCCCACACTTCTGAGGGTAACCTCTCTTAAGAGAGGCAGGCCTCCCTCACTTGCTCACACCTATAGCCTTGCTCCCCTGGGCTCCCCGCCTGGCCCTGAAGGCACTGGGTTTCATCCCCTGTTAGGACCGTCCAGGATCCCTGGCTGAACTTCACTCCAGACAGGGCTGTGCTTCCTTTCAGGTGCCCACTGTGCTGCCGTGGAGTCCTCTAGCTGGGGGTCCCTGGTCCCTAGTCAGCTCCCACTGAGGACTGGGAGGGGCGCAGCTGGGAGACGGTGCGGGCGGCAGAGGGAGGGAAGGGCAGTGCGGTAGGCCGGGCTGTCTGGGAGCAGCGGAAATGGGAAAAGCAGGACAGCCTGGAGGACTGGGCCAGGGAGGGCAGTCCAGGAACCACAGGCCCAGCACAGTGAGCAGGGGGAAGGGAGGCAGGAGGAAGCAAGTCAGGGAGATGAGGCAGGGAGAGGTGAAGCTGGGAGTGGTCCAGACGCCTAGGGTGCTCCAATTGCAGACTCAGAATCCAGGGAGAAGCCTAGACTTCTAGGATCTTCCGTTCCTGACTCCCAATATGCATCTGTGTAAGGAGGACAAGCAAGGCCATGGCGGCCTAGAGTCTGTCTGAGAGCTGGTGGGGAGGGCCAGGGACAGGCACCGGGACAGGGTCACTCTCAGGGCTGACGCCAGGGGCTCTGTCAGCAAGGCCGGAGCCTACCCCCTGGGTGTGGGGAGAAGCCCGCTGAATTGTGAAGTCCATTCTTACATCCTCTGCAAATTAGCAAACCCATCTCTCTTCCCCCACCTAAAGCCCCAAACAAAGAGGAGTGGGAGGGGGGCCTGGCCCTTTGTTAGGGGAAATTTATTAATATCCGAAACATGCAGCATGCAGGCCCTTCCTGTCCACCCCCAATCAAAGTCTTTGAGAACACCTGGGCCTCGCATTTGAAAGGCTCTGGGCTCTTTTATATGGCAGGTCCCGCCAGGAGGGGGGTGGGGGGGGAGAGCCAGGACATTCTTCCAGCCTGGGAAACTCTTGGCTCCTCCCGACCCTGGTCTCCCAGCTCCAGCTTCCCCTGCCTGGAAGGCAGAGCCGCTGGAGGGAGAGGACATGCTGCAGGTCCTGGTTCGGCCCCAGCTCTGCCAGTCTCAGCTGAGTAACCCTGACCGGGGGCCTGGGCTTGTTCGTGTGTATAATGGAGAACCAAGTGGTCTTTCGGGGCTTTCCTCACCTTCTTCATCATCCTTCGTCAGCCCCACCCACCTACCACTGCCATAGAGAAACAGGGTGTCAGGAGAGAAGCCAGGAGAGCCAGGACAGGAGGCAGCTGAGCCTCCATCTCCTCATCTGAGCAATGGCGCTGGAAGGCCTGTGCTGCCCACCTCCTGGCTCTGCAATAAGGAGGCAGGGTAAGGAGGGTGACCTCATTGGGTTTTATTAACAAGTAACCAACAGAACACAGATGGGTTGGGGAGACACCAGGAGAGAGACGGGCGCGGAGGCCGGCGTAGCTGCACGTGGGGGCCGTGCCCCACTGGTGGGGAGATCGCCGTGTGCAGACCTGCTCAGGCATTTCCACCCCCCACCCTCCTCTCTCAGGGAAGGAGGGACCCAGGGCAGCCCCTCCGTGCCTGGGGATTGAAGATACCAAGGCTTCTGGCCCCAGGCCTGCGGTGTCAGCTGCCTTCTGCTATCTCCACCCTCATGCTCGGGTGACCTCCATCACCCTTGCCTGGGCCACCAGCCCCTCTTGCCTGTCCTCCACAGGCCTCTCACCTCCACCCCGTCCCCTCTAACCACTCTGCACACTGACCCAGAACAGCATTCTTTCTAAAGCACACAGATCGTGCCAATCCCTTGCCCACCCCGTATCCCCTCCCCAATATTCCTCATCCTTACTTAGACCTTGTTACCTAGAACCTTCTTCTCCTGCCACTCTTCCTGCTCCTCAGCTCTTGACCTCCTCCTGGACCCGGGGCAGGAGGAAGAGGCTACAGGCTGATCTCTACTCCGGCAGGGTCAGCCCCTTCCCAGAGGCCTTCCCCACCCTGCCTTCCTCTTCCTCTCTTTCCAACTTGCCCACCCTCCAGGAAACCTGACCTGCACACACGAACCAGGAGGGATCTTTCTCCTACTCGACTTGTTAACCCTCGATGCCCGGGGCCCGATGGGCCTCCAGACACCTTGAGTGTCTGCCTGCTCAAGGTTCTGGCTGTGTGGAAGGCTTGGGGGCAGGCTCCCTGAGAAAAGGGAGGGGCCTGTGCCCTGGACACAGATGAGAGGGTAGTGCCAGCTGCCACAAGAGAAAGGGAGCTGGCTGGTCAGGAGGCCTGGGGTTCAGTCCCCTCTGCCATGAGACCTCAGGCAAGTCCTCCTCCCTGGCCTCGGTTTATCCATCTGTGAAGTGAGGGCTGAGCCAGATCATTCTCAGCTTGGAATGTGTGTGTGTGTGTGTGTGTGTGTGTGTGTAGGGGGTAGATGGAGGTTTCAGGGGAGGCAGAGACCACAAAGAAGGACTTGCATTGAGGACTGGCAACACCATGGCAACCTCCCACAGCCTCAGGCCTCCCAGAACCCCAGAGGTCGCGGCTGCCTTTGCACTGGGGCAGGACCTCCTGTCCACCTGCTTCCTGCCTCACATGATGGACTCCTCCTCCTCGGCAATCTCTCGGTCCACCTCGATGGCGGTGTTCTCGAAGCTGGTGATGCCCCCGTACTTGCGCATGTGCACCATCAGCGGCTTGGGCGACTGGCTGCCTGGCAGCGTGGCCACGTACATGCCTGTCCGGTTCTCCTCCAACGACGGGCCCCAGTCCATGGCCGGCCGGCTGGCCTGCTGGAGCCTCTGCAGCGGAGCAAAGACAGCGGTGGAAACAGCCCGAGCTCGAGCAGTGCGTCCTGGGGCCCAGCACCCGGCACCCGGCACCCGGCACCCAGCACCCAGCAAAGACCTTCCACATCCCCTGGGTTAGTCCTTGCAACAACCCGGGGATGGGGGTGCTGTTACCCGCCCTGGGGACTGAGTCACATGCCTGGATGAGACTCGTGCTCTGCCTGCCACTCTCAGGCTGGGTGGCCTTTGGGCACAGCATGTAAGCTGTTTCCTCGTAACTGGGACTCGGGATGCCAGTTAGGGTTGCTGTGCAGGGTAAGGCCCAGGAAACGGTGGCTCTGGTTATGGCTGTGTGGCCCTGGGTCCCTTTCCCTAAAATGCTCCGTACTAAGGAGCTGGCAGCTTTGGGGAAAGAGCCGTGGACTGGAGAACTGAGGCAGGAATTAGCTCTGACCTTCCACTCGGCCTCATTCGGACTCTGGTGTCTGACCTTTCCCGCTCCGAGGCCCCATTTCCAAGGAAGGAGGAAGCTGACTACGAGGATGAGTAAGCCTGGACATTCTAGGTTCCTTCTTCCCCAAACCACATTTTGGAAGCCCTCTGCCCTGCCAGGAAAAAGGGCCCCAGACTCTCCAAGGAGGAAAAGCAACCGACAGTAAGTGGAGCCCAGGGGGTGCAGGTTCAGAGGCGAGAACGTATGCCATGCCCTCAGCCCAGGGCCTGGCACGGCTCTGCACTCAAACATGGCGACACTTACTAAAATCTACAAAGAGCATGTCACCCCGCTGCTCAGAAACCTGCCAATGGCTTGGCACCTCACTTGGAATGAAATCCTAAGTGCTCGTCACGGCCTCCGTGTCCTGGCCCCTGTCTTCCTCCCTGACTTCCTCCTGCCACTCTCCCTCTACCCTCCCTGATCCAGTCACACTGACCTCCTTGCTGTCCCTAAATATGCCAGCCCGTCCTGCCTCTGGCCTCTGCACTAATTGTTTTTCTGCCTGGAACGCTCTCCCCTTATCTTCCATCCCGATCACCTTGTCAAGTTAGGCAGGTGTCTGTCAGGGCTGGAAGCCCTGGTCTCTGAAGGCGTCACTCTGGAGCTGGACAATGACTCTTCTGCAGTGCCCCCCCGCCCCCCAACGACATGCCTCTCCAACCGGCTGTGGGCAGCTGGGGCAGCAGAGCAAGGCTTGGGAACCATAACCTTCCGGGGGGACTGGAGCCCTTCACCTGCGCAACCCCTCTTCCTCCTTCCCTGTACAGACACCCTGGCTCTCAAGCAAGGAGACGCGTTTTCTATAGTAGCACGAGTGCGGCTCCTGAGGTTCAGAGAAGGCAAGGGGTTTGCCCCCAGTCACACAGCAGCTGGAGGCAGAGCAGTGGCTGGACTCCAGGACCCCTGTGGTCTGGGCAGAGCAGTCACAACCCACTTCTGCCAGGAAAGGGCTCTGAGCCCCCTGAGGGACGCTGAAGGGCAGTGCCGCTGTATGGGGAGTGGGGGGTAGTGTGCTGGTAAGCAGGCTGGGGAGGAGGGTGAGGGTACAGGAGGCCTGGTGTGTAGTCAAGTTCAGTGGTGCAACTATTCCCACCAGTGTCCTCAAGCTATCAACGTTTTGACAAGTGGCTAACGACATTCCCGAATATTTCACAATTGGCTCTCATTAGGCAGTACTAGCTGGACCCACACATCTCTGATGGGGTGCGGGGGTAGGAGGTGGGGTCCCCAGGCTCTCTCTGCTGGCCTGCAGGCTCATTCAGCTCTGCTCACTATGACAGCCTCTTGCCACCAGAGGACTCCACGCCCATGGCCTCAGAGGTGAAGGGCTCAGTATAAAGAGGGCACCCTGAGGCTCAGAGGGGGGCAGGATCTCTCCGTGACCACACAGTGTCACAGCAAGCCCATGCGCCCACAAAGGGTCACTGCTCCCCTCTTCTGAGGTTTGCAGATCCCCGTGGGTCTCTCCACAAAGCCCTGGCCATGAGGAGGGCTCAGGCCATCCTCCCTTTCCCAGGAGCCCCACAGCAGGGCTCCTGGACACAGGAGGAGGGAGACAGCCCCCCTCTGTTGCCTCCTGCCCCCGAGTCCCTTGGGAAGCTCTGGGCTGGCGACCAGAGTTCATGTCCTGACCCTACCTGACTCACTGTGGGGTAAGTCCCTTGTCCTCTCCCCAGACAAGCAGTCGTTGGCTGACATTGGTGGTCTTTGGATTGTGGCCCCCAGAGTCCCTGTGTGATATGAGGGGCCGCAGGGCAGGCCTGCAAGCCTACCTCAGCCCAAACAGGTTTGAGCTGATTCAGAGCTCAGGGTACTGGTTAGAAAAACTGCTTTTGAAAGAAGCCTGCAAAGCCCTGGATCAGGTATTGGTGCAAATCTTTTCTGTTTTAGCAGGTGAGCCAGGGCCAGGCCACAGGTCGGGAAGGCTGAGGGCAGGCAAGGTTGCGGTCGACTCACCTCCCAGAGCGAGCCCTCCTCTCGAAGCACAGCCACCACCATGCCGGCTGGGATCAGGAGGCAGGACAGCAGGCCCATCAGGATGCCCAGCAGCTCCGCCCAGGCTGGGAAGCGGTAGCTGCCGTACTCGGAGGGCTGGTACTTGACGATGCTATACACCAGCAGGGCCTGCAGGGAGGGGGCTCCCAGCATCACAGTGCGCCTTCTGGCCCCAGGGCTTAGGATAGCCCGGGTCCCAGCTACCTTAAGGCCTGAGAAAGCCCAGCCCAGGGCCATCCCAAAGCCTGAGACAGCCCAGCCGAGACACCCAGTGTCTGAGATAGCCCAGCCCTACGTGGTGCCAGAACCTGTGATGGTCCATCTTTGTTTTGGAGCCTGAGCTAGCTCTGCTAAGCTCACCCGATGCCCAGGCCTGAGACAGCCCAGCTCTGAAGAACCCTAATTGCTGAGATGGTCTATCCCTGACCTGCTCCCACCCCACGGCTGAAAAAGGAGAGCTTCAAGGCCCAACCTAAGGCCCAGAGGCCTGAGAAAGCCGCATTCATTTTGCCAACCAAACTGAGGACTAGGCCCAGCACAGACACAAAGGCTGGGGGCATCTCGGGGGAGGAGAGCAGACCCGATCCTGGTGCCCAGCCCACCCCTCAGCCCTACCAGACTGAATGCCCAGAGGGGCCCTGCTCTCAGCCCTGGGCCCCAGCCAGCAGCCCTCCCACCCACCCCAGTTACCAGGAGGGTGGCCGGGGTCAGGAACAGCCAGCAGGCCCTGAAGTAGAGGCCCGGCTTGAAGCCCAGCATCATATGGATGTCCCGGCAGAACCTCTGGATGCCTGCACCTGGGAGGAGAGGAGCATGG